CTTGGAGTCACTGAGCTCCTGAGAGCGACCCATTCTTTCACCAATGTTTGTTTGTCTTTCACAAATGCTGTGAGGATTTCTGACTAATGATTGGATGTGGTCACAATGTCCAAGTTCGTCCAACAATTTTCCACCCGGCTCCTTCCAAATGTTGATGTAAGTGTAACGAAGAGCAAAACTTGTTTTAGTTTTGGATTGAATGGAGATGGATTAGAACATCGTCAGGTTTTTATTGCTGTCTATTTCACCCTCTCAATTTTTTCTGTTTATTGTTATCACCAAGAGTGAAAGAAAATCATAAATTTTAGGTCATCACTAGAGGGAACATCTTCTAATGGGAACACTAGGTCTGGTGACAACCAATGATTTGCTCCCTTTGGAAGGATTTCTTCTCACTTCCTGTTTTTGCTATGGGACAGGAAGTGAAGGGAAAGCTCCACAATGGGACGCAGATGGAAAAATAAAATATATGGCAGGTGTTCTAACCCTCCTTTACTCCATCCAAAATGAAAAAAAAAAAAAGTGTAGTTCTACTTTAGGCAATTTATGTCAAGCCGGGTGATGCCAACAGGTGCAGCCATGGCCTCAGTTTGGGCCAATTCTGTAGGAATTTGTCAAATTTCGAGCCATGGAAGGCAGCCTTTACAGTGCGCTGACCCCTCCTCCTCTCCTCGCCAAGTGCTGGGATTACAGGAGACCATTTCCAAGATGGACTTCGGCACCTCTGACGGTTGAACCTCTCTATACATTAGTTGTAGGACGCTGCCGATACGACCAATCGCTGTATGCAGATCGAGAGGTCTGACCTTCTAATCTGCATCTCTGTCCCGGGTCAGCAACTCAGAAAATATGGAACCCGCAGACAACCAGCATTCTCAGATGGCAGCTGGCAAAGGCAGTCTATCTCAGTACAGATGATTTCTTTTGACATCTGAAGGCCCCATCACTGCAAGCCCAGGCAAAAAAACTGAGCAACCAGTGGGTGGGAGCGCCCCCCCACCGTGGCCACCACCCCAGAGGCGCCCCGCCGCGGCCACCACCCCAGAGGCGCCCCGCCGCGGCCACCACCCCAGGAGGCGCCCCTCCGCGGTCAACCCAGAGGCTCCCCGCTGCGGCCACCACCCCAGGAGGCGCCCCGCCGCGGCCACCACCCCAGAGGCGCCCCGCCGCGGCCACCACCCCAGGAGGCGCCCCGCCGCGGCCACCACCCCAGGAGGCGCCCCGCCGCGGCCACCACCCCAGGAGGCGCCCCTCCGCGGCCACCACCCCAGGAGGCGCCCCTCCGCGGCCACCACCCCAGTAGGCGCGCCCCACCGCGGCCACCACCCCAGAGGCGCCCCCTCCGCGGCCACCACCCCAGAGGCGCCCCCGCCGCGGCCACCACCCCAGGAGGCGCCCCTCCGCGGGCCACCACCGCCCCTCCCGCGCCACCACCCCAGAGGCGCCCCTCCGCGGCCACCCACTCCCAGAGGCGCCCCTCCGCGGCCACCACCCCAGAGGCGCCCCTCCGCGGCCACCACCCCAGAGGCGCCCCTCCGCGGCCACCACCCCAGAGTTCCGCGGCCACCAGTTGAGTTGGAGAACAGCTAAACAGAGAGCAGTTGTATTGGATGAAAATTTTGCCCAAATATGGCCAATTTTTGCTCTAATTACGCCGTGTATTCGCTCCTCTGCTTTTCCCGATACAACGGGATTACCCTGCAGATAAAGGCACACGGACTTTCCCAGGGAGGTGTCAGATATTAATGTCACATTAAAACCGATTAGTATTCTGACAAAGCATCTCAGCAAATCCATCTAATGAACGGTCCCTGGACTGAGGGGAAGGCCTGGCTGAGAAAGTGTTAAAGTAAAGCAGCCGAAAATCGGAGTAATTAAGACTGACGTATAATGAATACAATGGCTGAGTAGAGGATTCCTCCAGTGACATCCAAATACCACAATCATTAACAAACAGCTGAAGTTATGTGCAAATCTGAATATTCTTTACAGGCTGAGCTTGGTTTCACAAACTCGCATGTTCCAAGCTCCTTTATTGGTCCTGTATGGTGATGGGCCCCTTCACTGACCAATAGGGGAACTCAGGACGTGGGAGGGGGCAGGAGCAAATGTATTTTAACAGTCAAGATCTGAACCTAACTTCAGCTGCGTGGATCTCGGGAGCCAAGGATTGCTTCAACATGTGACAAATGAACTTTATAGTGGGGTCCTGTTTTTTGGTCACATCTACTGAACCGGAAAGCGATTTTGCACTCCAGCTTCTCAGTCCCAGAATTCTCTCACAACAGAAATCCATGCAGTTGGACCTTCGTGACTTTCAAAGGGCAGAAAAAACAAAAGATATCATTTATACTGCTTCCAAAATAGCTGGAAAATCACTTTTCCCGCAATATTGTGCCAATAAAAATTCTAGGCAAGCGATTATTTCATGAATTGGGAAATTCCAACGAGGAAATCATTTTCTAATCACCTTTTGATTCTGCAGGTCACAGAAATCCACTGAAAACTATTTTAGGTTTTTCAGACAGTTGTATTCTATGTGGGAATTGTCTGGATTTGTGCTGAAGGCCGAGTTCCCGATGTACCAATATATCATCCATGTACTTCTGTTGTAGAAAAGCCTTTCCATGTATTTCAGGACGACCTTTCCTCAGCCTCCAGCGTGCTCCATAGAGGTTCATGACTTGTGGAATGTAGATTTCCTCACTTGTGTGGATTTCAGGGACGCACTGCAGCCCATTTTCTGTGCTTTCCTATGGATCTGGTTCACCAGAAGACACCGCCTTGGGAATGGAGCTCATTATTTATCACGTTGTGACGGGGGGAAGTTCCACCGTAAGAAATGGCGGCATCGCTGAACGACTACAATAGGGGCAGCTTTCAGGAAAGGGAGGACGTCCCCCATAGGACCCCTCATCGGTTACTGGGCCCAGAGTGGGGAAACCTTCCCACAAAGCCTGGCACCGAGTCAGGGATTACAGAAACACAGATGTGCTCACATGTAATAACCCCAGAACCACCAACCCCCACAAATGACAACAAAATCGATCAATCGTTGGTGTGATCACCACCAGGGGAACTATCTGAAATCAGGAGGTGGCCAGTGCTGACCTGGAAACGCCAATCGCCTGGCTGTCTCCGGCTTCTATACTTCATGACACAAAACAAACAGCAGATGAGTGAAGTCAGGACTTGTGACACCATATATGAAACAATCCAATTGGCTAAAAAAATGAAAGATAATAAACACAACCAAGCAAACCCGAGTCCACAATTTACTGAACTTTTCACCTTCCTCAGGTGGGGGAAGGGGGGGGGGGGATGGGTAGGTGGTGTGGTGGTAGGTAGGTAGGAAGGGGGTAGGTGTCTCGGCTCCTCACCTTCCAGGGTCACCTCCTTCCCCACCTGCACCATCTGGTCATGATTGGCACTCTGGAGGTGGGATAGAGGTAGGTAGGAGGGGAAGGGAGGTAGTTGGTTTGGGTGATAGAGATAGGTAAGTGGGGGTAGTGTAGGTAGGGAGGGAGTAGGTAGGTGGGTAAGAGGTAGGTAGGTGGGTATAGGTAGATATCTAGGCTCCACACCTTCCAGGGTAGCCTCATTCCCCACCTTCAGCACCTGCACTGCCAGATCATGGGTGGCGCTCAGGAAGGAGGGGAAAGGTAGGTAGGGGGAGGTGTAGATAGGTGGATAGGTGAGGTAGAGATAGGAAAGGGGTAGGTATGTTGGGGGTGGTAGAGATAATTAGATGGGAGTGGAGGTGGTGTAGGTAGGTGGTTGGGGTAGCAGTAGATAGGAATGAGGTAGGTATAATATATTGCGCAAAGTATTGGGCTGCCGGCCTTTCCATGACCTTTAATGGCCCCCCAGTCTTAGTCCGTAGTGTTCAATATTGAGTTGGCCCCGCCCTTTCCACACACATGACCTGTAATGGCCCCCCAGTCTTAGTCCGTAGGTTTCAATATTGAGTCGGCCCCGCCCTTTCCACACACATGACCTTTAATGGCCCCCCAGTCTTAGTCCGTAGGGTTCAATATTGAGTTGGCCCCGCCCTTTCCACACACATGACCTTTAATGGCCCCCCCAGTCTTAGTCCGTAGGGTTCAATATTGACTTGGGTAGGTAGGGTGGATGGGGGTGAGGGAAGTAGGTAGGTATGTGGGTGGGGGTAGCGGTAGGTGCATGGGGGGTAGGTGGAGTATCGGTAGGTATGTGACAGGGGGTATAGCGGTAGGATGGGGGGGTAGGTAGGTGGGAGTAGCCGTATGTAGGGTGGGTGGGGGGGTAGGGAGTTGGATGGGGGGTAGGTGGGTGGAGAAGCGTGGGGGGAGGGAGGTAGGTAGGTGGATGGGAGGGAAGTAGGTGGGTATGTGGGAGGAGTAGAGGTAGGTAGGTGGGTGGAGTAGTGGGAGGGGTAGGTAGGTGGATGGGAGAGAAGTAGGTGGGTATGTGGGAGGGGTCACGGTAGGTGGGTGTAGTAGAGGTAGGTGGGTGGAGTAGTGGGAGGGGTAGGTGGATGGGAGCGAGAGGGAAGTAGGTGGGTATGTAGGAGGGGTAGCAGTAGGTAGGTGGGAGTAGTGGGAGGGGTAGGTGGATGGGAGGGAAGTAGGTGGGTATGTGGGAGGGGTAGCGGTAGGTGGGCGGAGTAGGGGTGGAGTAGTGGGAGGGGTAGGTAGGTGGATGGGAGGGAAGTAGGTGGGTATGTGGGAGGGGTCACGGTAGGTGGGGTGTAGTAGAGGTAGGTGGGTGGAGTAGTGGGAGGGATAGGTGGATGGGAGCGAGAGGGAAGTAGGTGTAGTGGGAGGGGTCGCGGTAGGTATGTGGGGTAGTAGTGGGAGGGGTCGCGGTAGGGTAGTAGTGGGAGGGGTAGGGGAGTAGTGGGAGGGGTCGCGATAGGTAGGTGGAGGAGTGGGAGGGGTAGGGGAGCAGTTGGGAGGGGTCGCTGTAGGTATGTGGGTGGAGTAGTGGGAGGGGTCGCGGTAGGTGTCTCGGCTCCTCACCTTCCAGGGTCACCTCCTTCCCCGCCTTCTTCAGCGCCTGCACCGCCTGGTCATGGGTGGCGCTCCGCAGGTCGGTCCCGTTGACGGACAGGATGGCGTCTCCCACCCGCAGAGCCCGGCTGTGGTCGGCGGCCAGTCCCGGGAAGATCTTGGAGATGAGGACCGGCATCCTGTTCTCCTGGCCGCCCTTTATGCTGATTCCCAGCCCGCCCGACTCCTTCACCACCCGGACCCTCCTCACCGGTTCCGGGCTGTCGGCGGGGAAGCGGGATCCCGGGCTGCCCAGTCCCGACTCGGAGCCCGCGGATGGCCGCCGGGGGGTCCCCTGCGGGGGGTGTCAGGCTCTGGGCCATTGCTGAGCCCGTTTAGCGGCGCCGGCTCCTCCTCCGAGGTCAGGCTGAGACTCTCCCCGGACAGCTCGGCCTGGACCCGCACCCAGTGATCCTGCAGGAGGAGCTCCAGGAGCCCCGAGCGGGAGGCTCGAGTCCACACCGCCATGGTGTCACTGAGAGCCGGACAGGGGACACTTCCTGCCAGGAGCTCCGCCCCGCCCCGATCCTCCCCCAACCTGCCACTCTCAGCCTCGCCCCGCCCTTTCTTCCATTACCTACTTCACAGCCCCGCCTTTTCTTTCTCTATCCCGCCTCTTACATCCTCTCCCCTCAGCCCAGCATCTCTCTGCCCCTCCCATGCCCCTCCCCGGAGCTCACACACACGTGGCACAGTGACACCTGCCGGCCGAGTGACAGGAGGCGTGCGATCCGTGACACCTGAGCGGAATTGTGTGCGGAGGGTGTAGAGGTGACACCATGGAGTCCTGGAAATGGCGGGATATTCCATCCAGCAGGCGGAGTCACTTCCTGTTGGGTTCGGAGGATTTATTTGCACCAAATCTGAGGTTGTTGTGGTTCCGGCTGCGCGGGGGAGGGGTCACGGCCTGCACTTTATGAGGGGTCATGGATGGTGATCGGATCCCCGCAGATTCTCCCACATACACAGGAATGACGGGTCTGGAATTGTTACCATCGCGGTATATAAATGACAGAATATCCACCAAAAATCCAGAACCAACGCGATACAAATGTTACAAATGGAGTCGCAGTTCCGGGAGGAAAACACAAATTCATACCTGATGGAGGAACCCTGAGTGTTGGAGGAGACCAAAATCCCTCCTGAGATGTCCCAACCTGGGACCCGACTGCAAGGAACGTCTCACCAACGAGGACCGTGCGCCTCCAACGAGGACCGTGCGCCTCCGACGTGGACCGTGCGCCTCCGACGTGGACCGTGCGCCTCCGACGTGGACCGTGCGCCTCCAACGAGGAATCTGCGCCTCCAACGAGGACCGTGCGCCTCCAACGAGGAATCTGCGCCTCCAACAAGGACCGTGCGCCTCCGACGTGGACCGTGCGCCTCCAACGAGGAATCTGCGCCTCCAACGAGGAATCTGCGCCTCCAACGAGGAATCTGCGCCTCCAACGAGGAATCTGCGCCTCCAACGAGGACCGTGCGCCTCCGACGTGGACCGTGCGCCTCCAACGAGGAATCTGCGCCTCCAACGAGGACCGTGCGCCTCCAACGAGGAATCTGCGCCACCAACGAGGAATCTGCGCCTCCAACGAGGACCGTGCGCCTCCAACGAGGAATCTGCGCCTCCAACGAGGAATCTGCGCCTCCGACGAGGACCGTGCGCCTCCGACGTGGACCGTGCGGCGCCCGACGTGGACCGTGCGCCTCCAACGTGGAATCTGCGCCTCCAACGAGCACCGCGCGCCTCCAAGAGGACCCGCGCCCCTCCAAGAGGACCACGCGCCTCCAACGAGGACCGTGCGCCTCCAACGAGGAATCTGCGCCACCAACGTGGACCGCGCGCCTCCAAATAGGACCCGCGCCTCCAACGTGCACCGCGCGCCTCCAACGAGGACCCCGCGCCCTCCAACGTGGACCGCGCGCCTCCAACGAGGACCGCGCGCCTCCAACGAGGACCGCGCGCGCCTCCAACGAGGACCGCGCGCCTCCAACGTGCACCGCGCGCCTCCAACGAGGACCGCGCGCCTCCAAGGAGGAATCTGCGCCACCAACGAGGACCGTGTGCCTCCAACGTGGACCGTGCGCCTCCAACGAGGACCGTGCGCCTCCAACGAGGAATCTGCGCCACCAACGTGGACCGTGCGCCTCCAACGTGGACCGTGCGCCTCCAACGTGGCCCGTGCGCCTCCAACGAGGACCGTGCGCCTCCAACGAGGAATCTGCGCCTCCAACGAGGACCGTGCGCCTCCAACAAGGAATCTGCGCCTCCAACGAGCACCGCGCGCCTCCAACGAGGACCGCGCGCCTCCAAGAGGACCGCGCCCCTCCAACGAGGACCGCGCGCCTCCAACGAGGACCGCGCGCCTCCAACGTGCACCGTGCGCCTCCAACGAGGACCGTGCGCCTCCAATGAGGAATCTGCGCCTTCAACGTGGACCGTGCGCCACCAACGAGGACCGTGCGCCTCCAACGAGGACCGTGCGCCTCCAACGTGGACCGTGCGCCTCCAACGAGGACCGTGCGCCTCCAACGAGGAATCTGCGCCCCAACGTGGACCGTGCGCCTCCAACGTGGACCGTGCGCCTCCAACGTGGACCGTGCGCCTCCAACGTGGACCGTGCGCCTCCAACGAGGAATCTGCGCCACCAACGAGGACCGTGCGCCTCCAACGAGGAATCTGCGCCACCAACGAGGACCGTGCGCCTCCAACGAGGACCGTGCGCTTCCAACGTGGACCGTGCGCCTCCAACGTGGACCGTGCGCCTCCAACGTGCCGCCTCCAACGTGGACCGCGCGCCTCCAACGTGGACCGCGCGCCTCCAACGTGGACCGCGCGCCTCCAACGAGGACCGCGCGCCTCCAACGAGGACCGCGCGCCTCCAACGAGGACCGCGCGCCTCCAACGAGGACCCGCGCGCCTCCAACGAGGACCGCGCGCCTCCAACGTGCACCGCGCGCCTCCAACGAGGACCGCGCGCCTCCAACGAGGACCTGCGCCTCCAACGAGGACCGCGCGCCTCCAACGTGCACCGCGCGCCTCCAACGAGGACCGCGCGCCTCCAAGGAGGAATCTGCGCCTCCAACGAGGACCGTGCGCCTCCAACGTGGACCGTGCGCCTCCAACGTGGACCGTGCGCCTCCAACGAGGACCGTGCGCCTCCAACGAGGAATCTGCGCCACCAACGTGGACCGTGCGCCTCCAACGTGGACCGTGCGCCTCCAACGTGGACCGTGCGCCTCCAACGTGGACCGTGCGCCTCCAACGTGGACCGTGCGCCTCCAACGAGGACCGTGCGCCTCCAACGAGGAATCTGCGCCACCAACGTGGACCGTGCGCCTCCAACGTGGACCGTGCGCCTCCAACGTGACCGCGCGCCTCCAACGTGGACCGCGCGCCTCCAACGAGGACCGCGCGCCTCCAACGTGGACCGCGCGCCTCCAACGAGGACCGCGCGCCTCCAACGAGGACCGCGCGCCTCCAACGAGGACCGCGCGCCTCCAACGAGGACCGCGCGCCTCCAACGAGGACCGCGCGCCTCCAACGTGCACCGCGCGCCTCCAACGAGGACCGCTGCGCCTCCAACGAGGAATGCGCCTCCAACGAGGACCGCGCGCCTCCAACGTGCACCGCGCGCCTCCAACGAGGACCGCGCGCGCCTCCAAGGAGGAATCTGCGCCTCCAACGAGGACCGTGCGCCTCCAACGTGGACCGTGCGCCTCCAACGTGGACCGTGCGCCTCCAACGAGGACCGTGCGCCTCCAACGAGGAATCTGCGCCACCAACGTGGACCGTGCGCCTCCAACGTGGACCGTGCGCCTCCAACGTGGACCGTGCGCCTCCAACGTGGACCGTGCGCCTCCAACGTGGACCGTGCGCCTCCAACGAGGACCGTGCGCCTCCAACGAGGAATCTGCGCCACCAACGAGGACCGTGCGCCTCCAACGAGGAACCGTGCGCCTCCAACGTGGACCGTGCGCCTCCAACGTGGACCGTGCGCCTCCAACAAGGTTCCTCCACCAACTACTAAGCCATGTTTTCTTCGGGGATCAAATCCTTATTTTCCTCCCAGAACTGCGACTCCATTTGTAACATTTGTATCGCGTTGGTTCTGGATTTTTGGTGGATATTCTGTCATTTATATACCGCGATGGTAACAATTCCAGACCCGTCATTTCTGTGTATGTGGGAGAATCTCGTGGATCCGATCGTTCTTTTCTCCACTGGAAGTCCTTCCTATTGTTGTGCTGCACTTTGAATTATTTTTTCCTTTTTTTTCGTGGTGTAAGATCACATGACAGCTGCGGGGGAGGGGCTTTTCTTTTGTTTTTTGTCTCTGGTTGTTTGGCCAGCGCAGGGTTGTTCTGATTTGCTGTCCTTTATATGTTAATGTGTGTGAAGCTGAGAACTTGACAACAGAGATCTCCCTGTGAAGTCCGATAGACACGGCAGGGTCAATAAATTTCGCCACTTTTCCGGCGTTCGTAGCAATTGCTAAGACATTGTGACAACGTTGCCATTTGCTGCACTTTTCTTCCTATCTGCGCGCCAAATTCAGCTCCTTCCCGAGTCGCGCGCCAAATTCAGCTCCAAATTCAGCTCCGAGTCGCGCGCCAAATTCAGCTCCTTCCCGAGTCGCGCGCCAAATTCAGCTCCTTCCCATGTATTTCAGTGGTATAGTTCACACCAGTGCAGTCCCTCCCAGTGCAAAAAAACAAATGAGAACATGTTGCATTTTTCTGCATTGAACTGTACTGGAAAGCAGAAAAATGCATCAGAAACACACAAACGCTTTAAGCCCGCAGCTGCATCACTACCCCCATCACACAATGTGGCGTCTGCTGGGCACAGAATCACATGACAAGGGACATTACATTGTTTTGGATGATACTCTGCAATTTCTGCTCCATAGACGTCTATGTTAAACACTCACAGAAGTCACATTGGTAATGGATAAGAAGCATCGTATGCAACTTTGATAAGTTCCATTTTTTGTAACCCTCTCACCCCCTCCTAGGTCATCCTTCCTGCCTAAAAACTCTCCTCCCGAGCACATGCCATTCACACCTGAGCATAGCAGAAATATGCGTCCCGATTTTTTTTTTTTTTTGTTGTGTTTTTTTTTTTTAAGAATGGACAGAGAGAGAAACACTGGCTGCAGCTGCTCTCTGTAGCTGTTACCCTGCAGTGCTGAACTGGTTAAGAGCTATATCAGCAAGAGGACGGAGCTGCTGAGTTCAATAGACTGAGTCAGGCAGCACTGCACTGTGGGAACTGTAGTCCAGAGGAGAGACTAACTGTAATTAAGAGCTTTTGAACTGCATTCTCTAGAGAGAGATGCCAAGAGGAGGGGAAAGAGCTGCACTTTTTCTCAGGTTGTACAGGACACAGCTTCCTCTTGACATGAGGTAGCCCAGAGAGTGCACATCGCTGTCCAGTGTGGACCGTCACTGCTGCATATCGGTGGCCTCAGTGGGGGTCTGG